GGAGGCTCCAGGGAGGCTTCCTAAGCCCAAAACGGGGCACGGGGGGAGGTGTGAAGAAAGAAAGAAAGAAAGAAAGAGAGAAAGAAAGAAAGAGAAGGAAGGGAGAAAGAGGGAAGGGAAGGGAAAGTGAATGAGATATGGAGGGAGGGAGGGAAAAAGGACAGGAAGGAAGGACTATAAACCCTGGCACTAGACACAGCTTCAGAGGATGCTTTGAAACAGCAGAGCAATCCAGGGCTGGAAGGGACCTCAGAGGTCATCTAGTCCAACCCCCTGTTCCAAGAGCATTGTTAAAGTGAGTTTATCTCTTTTGACCCACCCAGCCACAGACCACATAGCCACGCCCACAGAAGTGGTAGTAAAAAAATTCGAATCCCACCCCTGCCGGCGTCTTCCACTTTTTTCACGAGTTTGCTTATAAAATGGCTTCTGGACGCCTTTCTCCCCTGCCCACCTCTGTTTGCTGCCTCCGCTTCTCCAACTCCTGTGTGCCCAAAGACGTCTCAGGAGCTGGGATATTCCTCTCCGTTTCCTCCAGCCACTGCCTGAGTGACCCAACCAGTTTTCGGAATACATCCAACTGTTCTTGACAAGACGAAGCTCCTTTTTCCCTGGGAATGGATGAAAAAAGGGGTAGGGGGGCTGTGAAGTACTTACTATCTGGCAAGCACAATCGCAGCCAGAGGTGGAAGGGGAAGCCACGCCAGATGCCTCTTGTAAGCCACTGGACAAAGGGACTTTGTCCCTGTCTGCCACAAGGACCTACTGGAGCCATTGATCCACCTAGTTGCTATGAGCCATGCAAAAGTGGCAAACTGGCATTCTGAGTATTTGGGCTGGTTATGAATTCTGTACATGGGAAAGCATTTTGAGATGCATCTATGAACTGGGTACATGCAAGTCACAGAGGATGCTGCCATCCATTTATAGCCTGGGAAACACTTCCTCATAGGAGTAAGAGCCATATCTTTCATATCTTCTTTTTCTCTCCAATACAGTTTTAGATAAGCTGGGTGCAAACTGAAGGATTACAGACCTCCAATTCATTCTTGCTTTACTCCTTTAACCATTTGTTTTACTTACCTGGGTCAATGATAAATGCCACAATTAATTACATGAATATTTTGAACAACCTCAATAATAAAAGATTGATTCATCTGTTTCATTCAGTCTTCTTAGTAAATTGCAGTGGCAGATAGAGAAAAGAATTATCCTGCAATAAATTATACCTACACCAATTCCTAATTTGGCTGTGCAACCTTTCAGACCTGATTCCAGAAAGGTCTTTCAGTGTACAAGGGAATAGCAATGTAGTATATGTATGTAACTCTTTAAAGTAGTTGTGACTTTTTCCAGGAGTTCCCAATGCCAAATAATCTGAGGAAAAGATGTGCCTTCTTTAAAGATGCTATAGTTGCACCTCAAATCACCATTTTTGGAACTGAATCCGAAGCACCTGGAAAAACTCTCTTGTTCCAAGATTCTTAAGCGATTAGAATTGTGAGCACAACACATACATTCTGGATAACCCAATCTGAATCAACATTATTATTATTGAGAGCAGTGGTTGTAACAAATAAATAATTCAAGCTAAATAAAAAAGCATTTAAAATACATTGGTAGATCTCCGTGTAAAACTATACATGATAGAATGTATTTCCTTTCAGCAAAATAAAAACTACAACTTAGGGGAGGGTTGAAGCATTATAAGATCTTTTTTTGTGAAAGGTGAAAATTGTCAGTTGATGGCAGGGTTGTCAAACTCAAGTCCTGGGGGTCGGATCAGGCCTGCAGGGTGCTTAGATCTGGACCGCGGTGCCTCTGCCAGCAAAAATGGGGCTCGTGAAGAATGTGGGCCAGCTCCCTTTTCACTGGCCGAGTGCTGGCAAAACAAACTACTGGCAAAAGTGGCATTTGATCACACGACTGACATCGAACTGGCCCTGCCCCTCCGCCCCCCCACCCCACCCCCCAGGTCACATACAACCCTGATGCAGCCCTCAGTGAAACACCCCGATGTATGGAATTGTGTCTACCAGCACCTAAATTACGCATGCACATAATAAATGAGGCAGTGAAGAAGGTAATATTTATTTCTTAAATTTACATGCCCCCCCACCATTCTGCAAAGTGACTCTGAGCAGCTAATATTTGTTGTCTTTTAAAGACAACCATCCTCTGCAGCACCAAAGGGCCACCTGAACGGCTGAGAGGAAATAGGAGTTTTTTTATGTGGCTGAGAAGGAGAGCACACACCTCGTATAAAGGGGGCAGCGGGTATCGTGGAGATGGAGCCAAATGTTAAGCTCTGAACCCATTTCACTTGTTCCAGAAGCAGAACAAGTTGCAGGTTCCCCCCCCCCCCCCCCCCGCTGTCTTTACAGGCAAGGGAGCTGTGAATGGGGCATAAAACGAAGTGTGAGTGTTCCTCCCTGTTATGCCAGTGGCAGGTTTTGTTTGCTCTGCCTGGTTTGGGAGAAGTTTACCAAGGCTTCAGAAGACAATTCCAGAGAGGGGATGGGGAGAGGCTGAAGAGAAGGCCGTTTTTATCCCCTTGGATCCAGGAATCCGAGACTTATGACTGTAGGGGAGCCTGGAATTTCTGTTGTATATCGTGATGGTCATTTGTCAAGGTGTCCATGTGACTGACACAATGTTATGACCTTTTTGTGGCAGTTCTTAAGCAGATGTAACAGTTGTAGAATGAACACTGCAGTCATTAAGCAAACCTCCTGTCTGGGTATAAGATAGCATTGAATTGTTTTAAGGCTTTGTTCAGACATTATCCCAGGATAAAGATTCCTGGACATTCAGGTAGCTAAAGGGAGGGCTTTCGTCCCCTTTGCTGAACTCAAATAGCCTCCCAGGCATCATTTTTATTCTTATTGCATAGTTAACCCACAGCTTTATTCCTCATGGCAATTGCCCACAATAGGGGCAAGCATCTTCCTCACCCTAACTTCAAAAACAATATTCTGGAGAGGAGGAGACCGTTTGTCCTCTTAGCCTTCACTTCTCTGCCTCCATCCTTTTCCCAGCTGAAAGCAATCTGGACGCAATCAAAGAATTACAACCATTTAATCCCCCCCACATTTCCTCTGCAAGGCTCCTACCACCCCTCTGGCTGGGAGAACTCCTTCTCACCTGTCCTTTGTGGCTTTCTGCAGCTGAGTGAACTCTTTCCGCAAACTGTGCACCTTCTCTTGGTGTGAGGAGAAGCCAGTCCACACCAACCCACAAGAACTTAACTCTGTGGTTAAATGTTCCAGGTTGTCCAGATCCTCATGACGCTGCGTCATCTCGGAATTCAGTTCCTGGAAGCATCAGGAAACAGGGGTGGGGAGACACAGGACGGATAGGGTTGAAGTGAAGAGCACCTATGACTCAGTCCAAAACGTCAAGGGTTTCGCCATAAGGAACAGCCTGTGAGACCCCCCCTGGTCCCTGGAAGTCATGATGGACAGCAGTAGCAATCCCTGCATACAAATCATGTCAGGTAATGACAACGGAGATGACTGGTCTCCGAAGGCAACTAGATTAGGGCTGTGAAACACCTTGGATTCAGTCCCCAAAGAGGCTGGGGAGCACCTCCCTGGAACACCTTTAAGCTGCTGCACTGTTTCCTGGGATTACCAACAAGGTCATTCTTGATCATCCTTGATCCTGATCATCCTTGATCCTGATCATCCTTGGATATGAATTTGAACTTTAAAATTACAATTATGAATAGATTACCCCCAAATGTATGTGGGCAAAGCCTGTCCTGAAAAAGAATATGCAAATGCAAAATCCCAACTGGGCAACTGCAGCGCCCAGAGCTCTTATTTTTTGACCTACAAGAATTCTGTTCTGCCACCTCTCACCTCTTCAGCTTCATTGGAAATCTCCTGCACTTCCTTAACCGCATCTCTGTAAACTGACTGACCAGAAGGTGGACAAGAGCCAGGAAGAAAAATCCTGCAGCCAAACTGCATTCAGGGGCTCCTGGGTAACCCAGCAGAAGGTGGTTTATGGAGGCACCCTCCCTTCGCAGGAAGTTTTAGGGTGGAAAGCCAGAGGAGCAGTAGTCCAAGCGCATTCCCAAAAGGAATGTGGTGCATACATGTGTTCATTTATTCAGTTTGCATGGCTTGTTAGAGGGATTTTTTGCTCCTCCTCTCCTCCTTTTCCCCTGGTTTGAGCCTGCCAGCTCTAATAAAACCCCCACGCCAAGCCCAGGGACCAGAAACCAGGCGTCCCCCCAATCCTGAGCCTGGCCCTGCCTTGCTCAGCAGCTTCTCACCTGGATCTGTTGGGCGAAGTGGACAATGTCCCGCTCGGGTTGGTTTCCCAAGGCCAGCATCCGCCCTCGGCTCTCCAGGAATTGTTTCAGCTTCTCTGAGAGCTGCTCGTACTGTTCCACCTGGGGCAGGACCTTCTTCCAGGTGTCTTCCTTCTCTTGCTGCTGCTGCCACAGGTGGCTGAAGCGCTGGGTCACGTCCGCCAGTTTGGTCTGGAGGGCGGCAGCGGTGGTGCTGTCAGCGCTTTCCATGAACCGGGTCACCATTTCACGAGTGGCTTCCAGGCTGCTCTTTTGCCTGGCAATGTCTTGTTTGAGCTTCTGCAACAGGAAGGATACACATATTGTGCACAGACCCCCCAGGCACAGGAGAGCCGCTTGCCGCCTGGGAGAACACGAGCCCTGGATTCTGGACTAACCTTTCTTTTAACAAGCTAGAGCTTACAAATCAAAGGAAATCCGGGCTGTTCTCTTTTTATCCCTTTGTGTTACAGCAGTGCAGCCACCGGCGCATAGGGGCCACCTGCTTCTGCTTGGACTGGGCTCCTCTGGGGCCCTTTCAAAAGCTCTCCCCCATTATCTCCCTCAAGGCTCAGCTCAATGCCAAAGGCCTGGCTGGCTGCTCTTTACTGTTGGAAAAGATGCAGGTTCTTTGAGATTGAAGGCTGCATAGAAGCAACTCAGAAGTTTGGAATCATTCCAGATTCCGGCTCTCCCTGCAGGAAAGAACTCTGCTTTATGGCTAATGAACTTTGGGAGCTACTGTTTTATTCCTAACTCCTTTCTGGAGACTTTGTGTGAGAAGTGTCCCAATTTACTCCTAAGTAGCCACATGTTCTATATTCTACATTCAGCTGGATCTCCATTTTGATCTCAGATGCTCAGGCTGCTAATTATGGCTGTCCACCAACTGAAATAACACTCTGCACATACTCAAGGAGTGGCTTTTATCACCCATCAGGTGCCATACAGCAAATCTTTGTACCAAAAGCAACAAGTATGGTTTTCATTTCATTTTCATTTTCAAAATTGGATTTGGGTAAAATAATAATGATAAAGACAAGGAAACTCCAGGTTATTCAGAGACATTTTCAGTGTTCAAAAAATCCCCATCTTTTTAAAATTATGGAACAAGACCACAGTCAGAAATCTAAGTGAAATATCTTACTGTGTTTGTAGCGAGTGCCTCCTGGATGGAAAGGGAGGAAAATGCAGACCCATCCTCCCCTTTGAGAGTTCCCTCAATCTCAGCCATGGACTGCAGGAGGCTCTCCAGCGCCTCTTGGACACTCTGGGATTGAGCAATGGACTTCTGCAAAAGATCCGAGCGCTCGGCCATCCGACAGGAAAGGCTCTGAAATCGGCTCATAATGGAATCTGTGCAAGAATCAAATGAATTACAGGGGGAAATTCAAATGGCCCAAAAAATGCAGTACTTTGGAATCAAAGCATTCAAGACTCTCTAGCATTATCAGAAACTGCCCAAGAGGCTCAGAAGGGGTTTAAGGCTGTAAATTTCAATGCAGTCTTTAAGCACGGAGAACAAATACTCCGGGGGGGGCGGGGGGGGCGGCTCCTTCCTCACTTTAATCCCCGCCCCCACAGCTACCCTTAACCATTGATCATGCTGAATAGACTTGAAGTGCACCAGGTTGGAACAGCTTCCTTAGACACCCCCCCCCCACCCCCCAGCTTTACCTGTGGTCTGCTGGATGCCTCTGCGGTCAGGAACTGGGCCTTCCCTTATTTCCAGGAGGGACCGAGCAGCTTTTTCAAGCTTTTCTACAGGCACCTGATGCTCTGCAAGGTCCTCCTGCAGGTGCTGTCGGAAGCAACGAGAAGGAGGCAGGAATCAACGCAGGAAGAAATACTAGAACTGGACTAAAGGAGTCAGTCTTCAGAAAGAGGTTCTGAGGGTCAAGCTTAGGTAGAACCCCCCCAGACCTCAGAAACGCAGAGTTATCAATCAATCTATCCAATGTTTATTGTCAATGCTCAACATGCATACAATGAAATTATTCCTGGTTTTCCTTCACCTGCTAGAGCCCATTACGTAAGGCAGGAGGTGATGGGAAGGTGCCAATTCCCAGCTGATGGCCTTGTTCCATTGAGGCTCCCCTGAGAGAAGGTCCCTCCCGCAACAAAGGCAGGCTCATGTAGGTGTGGCCCAGCCTTTTCTAGTGGAAACTACAGGTAAAAAGTCTGCAAAAGGTTAAAGCCAAGGAGTAAGTGTGCTTGCTGGCTTACTTTGGTGTTAGCCAGCTGCCTTTGCAAAATGGCCGGATCAGAGGAAATGGGCTCCACCAGGAGGAGGGTCACAGCCTCTTCGCTCTCTTGCAGCCACGACCGGAGAGATTCTGCTACATCTTGGAACTGCCGAGAGCGATCCAGCAGGAGGTTCAGGTGGAGGCCAAGGGCAGAGCACTGCAAACAGGAGAAAAGACTCAGTGGGACTTTTCTAAAAATATTCCCCCTGTCCCCCAATAACACCTTTTCTGTTTCCAGGGACAAGGCCCGACATGAACTGAGGTGCTCGCCTTTCCCAGCTGTCTCAGAGAAATCCGCCGAAAAATCATTAGGCTGCTGCCTCACAATGGAGGCTCACAATTTTAAAGCAATGTTATTAAAGATTAGAATTACAACAGTAAAAATTAATACAAAGAAAAAAGAATAAAAAGAAAAAGGAGAAAGAGTAAAAGTAGAATAAAGAAAAAGAAATGAGATATATAAAGAAATGATTTCCTATCTAGTAATTTATCACTTCTTAAAAGACAACAATCTTTTCTTCCCATATTCCATCTCTTATCTATAAACAAAGCCGGAAAAAAATGTCATTTTAGCCCAGTCCATTGAGGGCTATTAGAGATCTATGTTAAACTTGTTCAGATGAATCAATGTTACAGTCCCTCTTTTTATTGTAAGTATCTTTAGTCCCTTCAAATAATGTTGTAGAACTTGATTTGTTTTCATTTTTGTTTTATCCCTTCTCAGGGGACTCTTCAAAACTTTAACAAACCTCTTTTGTAAACCCAATATAAGAAAATTACATAATTATCACTCTTGGTTTATTGTTTGTATATTCCTTTTAATTATTAACATATCTGCCAATTTTTGTATGATCATTTCTGTCATATTTGTAGCCTATCATTTGTACATCCGCTTTTAACTCAGTCTTGATCTTGTCAGGTGCACTATGTAATCCTTTCCCGTAACCTCTTTTGGGCAGTCTGCCCATAAAGGCAGATGTCTCTCTTGACACTAAAAATTAACTTCTAAGTCTATTGTTCAAAAATCTCCTTCAATGCATCCAATGTTAGAATGTTTTGCTTCATTCTGTAACTGTAAGTCAAGTTTATGTGTTCTTCTCCTTTAATTGTAATTTTTAATTCCCTCTAGTCTAGTGTCTTAATTTTTAAAATCTTTTTTGAAAAAAAAACACAAATTTTTCCACAGAATTCTTTACCAATTCCAAAATCTTATTTCCAATTTATTTGAAGCCTTAGTCCATCTGTAATTTTCCAAAAATTGCCTTTTTGCAGTTTATTAAAAATATTTTAAAGTCAAACTTGTAATTAAAATGTTCTTTAACTCCTAAGGGCTGAAGGAAACTTGCCCTGTGGTGTCAAACCTGTCAAACTAAAGGTGCTTAATAGCTAAAAAACAGTTAACATGAAATTTTTGAAAAGTAAGCAAACTTGGGGTTCTTTCAAAACCGCTGACAGTGGTTTGAGCAAAATGATTATTCCCTCATCTCCCAGAGCTCTAAGCCTACCAAAGACTCCTGTCTTGCAGTTCCCTCACAAGGAATAGCTGTCTGGACTCTGGAGCACATAGGGGCGATCTCAAGTTCTCTCCTTGCCCAGAGAAGACCGATAAAGAGCCGGCTCTTTATTCTGCTACAGCTCCATTGTTGGCTCAGCTTTTAACGGAGCTGCCTTTGGCTGCCATTTCTTCCTTCGAAAGTCTCTCAATGGAACTTTGCAAAATATAGGATCAATAAAGATCCTGGGCTGGCATAGCAGAAGCTTTTATGCAAGAAAGTTTGCTCAGTTGCTTCTGAAGTCTTAACATGCAGTTTTTCTTTGTAACTCTAAGATGCACGTGTAGTCTGGTAAAAAGGGGGGGGGGGGGAACCAGAAAACGATGGCACAAAAGTTAAGTTGCTGGTCCTCAACATTCGTCATGGTCCTTAGTTTTAGGTAAGGAAAGAGGGATGGAGGGAGACCAGCTGCCCTTCGCCTGCTTGAATATGTCACTTCCAGGATTTCCAGTCACTCTTTTAAGGGTGTTGCTGCTTCAAATCTTTAGCAGTGGTGGGAGAGCAGATTGCCTATTCTCCAAAGAGAACATCATGGATCCCTGGAAACAACTATCACGATGGTGCACAGGTGGGACTCCAAGGGCAGTGTGATGACCCGTAGTCTCTCAAAATAACCCCAAACCCAAAACATACATTAAAGTCCGGCAATGCCTTCAACTTAACTTCACTCTTTTATTAGGCACAGTTTAAAGTCACAAAAGTAAATAATGAGGCAAAAGGAAACCAAAACAAACTGCATTGACGAGAGTTCCAAAGCAAGCCAAGATAATTAATCATACATTCCAGGAAGAAAACGAGGAGAGTCCATGGGAAGAACGCCAACAAAGATACACCTCTTTCAAAGAAAACACTGAACTTTGTCTCCAGCAATCCTGACTGCGCAGTTACAAACTTATATACATAGCTCCCAGCTGCAAGCCACGAGGAGGATCATGATAATCTCCTTCTGAGTAGACCTCGCTTTTCCCTGATCCTCTCCTCCCTGCGTGCCCTAGGATGGAGAGGGGATGGGCCTGGATCCTCCTCCGATTGCTCAGCCGGCCTCTGCCCTTCCCCAGCCTCCTCCACCACCTCTGGAGCCACACTCCCACTCCCTGTTGGCTGTTCCTCCTCTTCCTCAGAGTCCGTCTCCACCAGGGGCAGGACAGGCAGTTTCTTTCCTACACTGCAGTGGCTGAAACCCAACGGAGAGCAGGGAGTGACTGACTGGGGGGATTAAGCTCTCAATGGCAACCTTGTTTTGAGAACGAGGCTCACTTGTGTCTCCTGACAAGACCGCTGTCCTCCTGAGACGGGCTTTACTGCTAGAGCAACGTCCTGGGCGGGGCCAGGGCACCATAGGGGCGGGACTGCGTTGGCCGAGGCCCTCTTCCCCCCCCCTCGGCAGAGAAAGCCCTCCGGCCTGACTGCCTGTGGAAAGACCAGGGAAGCAGAGCAGTGCTCAGGTGAGGCCAAGGGCTGCTGGGTGCCCGTCTCAACTTAGGTTGTGCTTTGGCACAGAGCCAGGGCTCCTCTTCTCCTTTACATTACAACAACGGTGTGGTCCAGCCTCTTGAAGAATGCAGCCCTTTTAGCGACAGAGACAACGAAGTAGAAAACTGTTGCTACATTATAAAAAGAAACAAGAGAAACTAAATATAGCCAGGTCCTAAATAAACCTGAAACTGCACAAGGAACAAACTGAAATATCTCCAAAATAAAAGTATCAAAAAACTCAAGCGACTGTTACAGAAAATAGCACCAAATGGTTCCTTCTTCTTCCTTCTGTCCAATTGTGCCGGATTCTTGGAGGCTGCCCGAAGAAGAAGTCCCTGCGTTTTCCTTGGCCAGGTTTTTCAGAAGCGGATTGTCCTCCTTATCGCCTGTCCGTCTGAGTGCTGAGGGAGCGCGATTGGCCCAAGGTCACCTGGCTAGCTTCCCACCCAAGGCAGGACTAGAACTCAGGCTCTCCCGATTGAGGCCTGTTGCCTTCAGCAATAAACCAAACTGGCTCTTTTAAAAAGATATTTAAACATTCATAAAATCAAATTAAATAAGAACACGAAAGCCAGAACTCAGAACTAAAGTTATTTTCTATTGGTAGAAAGATACCAATAGGAAGATATTAATCCCAGAAAACTGGGATAAAACGAGGGGTGTCCCTATAAATAAAGAACAAGAATGAGTAAAACGAGCATTCCCCACAGAGGAAGAGGTTACCATCACACAGGACATCCCCCAATCTTCAGTTTACCACTGAGAGGGAATTGCTTCTAGAAAGGCCATCCTTAACCCTAAGGGTACTTCTCATTGTGTGAAAAAGTATTTGGTCCTTCTGGTTTACTGAAGTTTTGCATGTTTGCAGCTGTATATAATCAGAGTTTCCTGTGGTTCCTGTTGAAATACATACAAAGTTGAGGGACCATACAGAAACAAAGCACGGAGCCGGTTCCATTTATTTCGTAAGCACAGCTATCCAGCATGTGACACGTGAAGGGTGCAAAAGGGTTTGATTTTAGTTGCCAGTAAACGATGCTTGGTGACTCAGCGATTAGAATGCAGTATTGCAGGATGACTCTGCCCACTGCCAGCAGTTCCATCCTACCCAGCTCAAGGTTGACTCAGCCTTCCATCCATCTGAGGTTGGTAAAATGAGGACCAGAGGGTTGGGGGCAAGAGGCTGTAAAACCACTCAGAGAGGGCTGTAAAGCACTGTAAAGTGGCATATAAGTCTAAGTGCTATTGTTAGTGTTATTTCATGCAATAATCAATTGTCACTCCTATCACTGAATAGGAATTTGGCCTGCAGAGAGCCAATATTGGAGAGTTTTTGAACATCAACTCTTCTTCCAGATCTATCACCATATATGTATGAACTTTGGGTTTTGGCTTGGCTGTCCCAAAACATTTGAATTTGTTCTATGTTGAGTCTCTTGCAGACTCAATGATATTTCTTGCAGATACTCCTGTGCCCCATTGTTCCTATTTTGCTGTTGCTTGTAGCCAGTCTGTGTGATCTACTTGCAGCAGTTAAACATTGTTTCTTGAGCTTCTTTGCAGAAAAAGCTGTCTGTTGCTGTCTTCTCTGTTCTGGATTTGTAGCCTTTATGCTTACGGCTTGGTCTTTAATCCCGCTGTCTCTTTCTTCAACTTTCTGCTTTTAGCCATTAGTAGATTTTGTTGTTATCTGCTTTGCCTGCTAGTTGTTGCTGTGGTTGTAAGATTTTGCCTTGCTATGTTTCTTTTCTAGTCTTCATTTGGTCTTTCCTGTTGGTCCCTCCAGTACTCAGGAAGCCCTCATGGGGTACTGGCTTAAGTGCATTTCCTTCAGATATTATTATTTCACCTGCTTCTTCAACTGTCTGGTGTCCCTGCAACAGTCCACACCCACCGATGCTCCTTCGTTAGAAGAGTCTGTCAATGTTGCTGAGCGGATGGTTTTTCCGATCTTCTGTCCAGGCCTTTGAGTTTTGCTTAAGTCCTGTCAGCTATTCCAGCTGCATATCTAATGACCAAAATTGTCCAGGTGTCTTGATTGCCTTGATGGTATTTCCTGCACTGAGCTTTAAGTCCTTCACTCTCCTTGTCTATTCATTTCTCACTTTCTTCTTGAATTCAGTGACTGAGCTTGCAGGATGCTGAGGTATTTGTAGCAATTGTTTTCATTCAGATTTTTGATGCTATTTCCATAGGGTATTTTGATTCCTTCATTTTTTTTACTATTTTCCCCCCTGTTGATGGTAAGATGGCACATTTGCCCAGCCCAAACTCCACTGAAATATCTTGGCGGTATATATTCGGACAGTGATGATCGGGGATTTGGTGCTTTTCTATACAGCTTCAGATTGTCCAGATAAAAAGAAGGTGGGATGGCCTGTCAGATGTTTTTGATATTGATAGCCATGGCCTGACTTGTTCAGTGTTCAGTGTAATATGGAGCACTGGCATTCTTCCTAGTGCGCAATGGTTTTCAGCTTGATGTGATCCCATGAATCCCATTCTTATCCTGTAAATTTCTCATGGTAGAATTATGAAGGCTGATTTTAGTCAAGGAGAGGCCCACAGATCTCTGGATATTGTTCAAGGTTGTTGTTGTTTTAAGGTTTCCTGATACAGTGATGTGACCAAGTATGTCATGCCTCTCAAATCTGTGTAGTGAGAACTTCACTATGGTGAAGTTTGTTTTATAAGATGGGTTTGGCGCGAAGTAGCATGTCTATTAAATGAAACAACTGGCCCCAGTTATCCTTTTAATTAGATTAAACAGGAGGACAGTTGCATTCCCTCACTGGCTTAGGCAAAAATTCAGACAATCTGCCAGTGCCACAACCAGAATTATTCTAACAACCGGCCTGGCTTTGAGGATGTCATAGAAGAAATGGAAAGAAACCCGGGAGCAGATACGATGGGCTGCCCAGAGGGAAGACCCCTTTCCTTTTAAAGGTTTCTCATACCTTAGAGTGGAGGGTGCCATATCTCCTGCTGGCATCTTCCAGTTTGCTCTCCACTAATGTGCTGGTGGCTAATATCTCAGGGCACAGCTCCCCTCCTCTTGCAGCAGCCACAGCCTTCTCGGCATCCAACACTTTCTGCCCTGACATCGTGACAAAGCGCAAGTCCCCTTTGTGGGAAATCACGTCTTCAGAGAAGCTGCTCTGCTGGAGGAGCACAGGCTGAAGGGACTCCAGACTGCCGTCCCCTGCACACACCTTCTCCAAGTCTTGCTCGGCCTGTTCCAGCCAGGCGGCAAACTCTTGGTGGTCCCGCAAAAACTTCTGCAGCTCATCGCGGAGCGCCTGCACTTGTTTGAGCTGCCCCTCTGTCTGAGACAAGGAAGCAGCATACTGGTCCTTCAGCTCTCCCAGACTTCTTTGCAGATCCTGCTTCTCTTCCAGGGTAAGATTGTGGTTGTGCTTGTCCAGGAAACCCTGGGCTGACTGTGTGGCCAGAATGACATCTTGTTGGTGGGAAAGGAGCTCTTGGTGATGGACCTGGAAGGAAAACATTAAAAGAAAACTACATTAAAAGTATATCAAACCAGACTACCAATGGAAAATTCAAAGCCAGACCCCACAGGCCAGGAAGAGGAATCTCTGGCTGTTGTCCCAGGCTTGACTCGCTCCTTCCCAACAGAGGGAGCCCAAGATTGTTTTAGTTATAGACTTGTCATATAAATATCCACAGGAATGCATCCGTGGCTGCTTCCAAACAACATGGAATGCATCCTAGTGGAGTGCGATACAAACAAACAGTGGATTCACTGACGGAAAGGGGACCCTTGATTGCCCCATTGACCCACTTGGAGGTAAGCCTCACAATCCCCTCAGTAAGTAGACGGCCTGGAGTTGGAGCATTCCCAAAACTATCTACCAGTCCAGACAACGGCAGCAATTTGACCTGTGTTAAAGAATGAACTGAAAGCCAAGGATGGCCATTATATGACATGGGTGAGATGGGACCCTGCCTCTCAGCCTTGAGCTGAAGTAATGGTGATGCTGCAGTTGATTCATTATTCTCAGAGAAACTCCCAGGCCAGTTAATAGGGATGAAGAAGGGTGCTTTGAGGATGCTCTGGAACAGAATGTCCAATTCTGTTGTCCAATTCACTCACAGAACCTAAAGATTTACATTTCATTTCCAGAAAAGAGCTAGGATGCCCTTAGGATTAGAGCCAAGGCAAAATCTATACAGACTGGGTAACAGAGTCTGGGAAACAGTGCTAAAAACGAAATGACACAAATGGATTCATAGCTGAGCCAAGATGTTACTCAGCAAATAGATGCACCAACCTTCAAACTCGTGTAGTGCAAATCAAGATTCTCTTCAACCATTTCCAACAAATGGCCATCAAGGGCACCTTGGACTCTTCCGCCTCCATGGCTTCCACCATCTTTTCCCACCGGCCACAATTTACCTTCTGGGACCCCTCTAGACTTCTTCACCGATGCCACCCAATGTAGAAGGGATTCAATCTTATTCTGATTTTCTTCAAAGTCTTTAATCACTCTAACCTGGGGTCAAATTTTTGAGAAAAGACAACAAAATAGCAAAATTCCATGGATGTTACTAATCTGTTGCGGCTGGAGTGGGCTGCTTTGAACAGGCTGGGCAGCAAGGATAAGGCAGAAATCACTTCCTTGAACACCTTCCATAGCAGTTTTGACAGACTCTGCAACAAGCAACTTACATGTATTTATATAATTCAATCTCCTCTTAAAATGTGGTGACTGAACCAGGTGTAGAGGTGGAGGAGAGACCATCCAGTCCAATCTCCTACTCAGTGCAGAACCCACCATGGCCTCTCTAACAGGAGATCCTCTGGCAATAAAAGAGCTGAAATTACCCAGCCCGTAGTACTGTCCTACCTTTTCTGTCTGTTGTTGCACCACAGAGCTCACAGCACTTTCAAGCTCCTTCTGGGCGGCCTCCACCCTTTCCTGCAGAGACAGGTGCTGCCCCTGAGCCTGGTGGAGCTTTTCTTGCAGGGATTCCAGCTCTCCCAGGGGCAGTTTGATTCTGTTCTCCTCCAGAAAGTCCTCTGTCGCCTTCAAGACGCTCGTGAAGGAAGCAGTCCGGCTGTGCAGACTCCGACGCAAGTCCTGGAGAACAACAAGCAAACCCTTCTGCAAATGTTTAGGAATTGACTTTCAAGGCTGGCATTGCAACTCTCTTCCAATCACCTTTTCCAACCTATTCAGTCAAAAAAGATCTCTCGAGCCACCCATTAAAATCTTATCAAAACTTACCATTACTTTTACATTTTGATTTTATTCATTTATTCAACCCACCAAGCAGACTAGACCAGAAAATCAACTTCCCAGGAAGGCGAAACTTACTTTTATTGAGATTGGCTACAATAACCAAATCTTGCAGGTCTGACTGAGCCATATCTCCTTCTCCTTCTTACCCTCCTGTGAATCAGGGAGGCCCCTGCCTAAGCCACTTCCACATAGTATCCTGTAGTTCTGGGTTTGAAAAATCCTTCAGCCCCTTTTGCCTGAGGAACGGTCCCTGCGTATCTCCACTCGTCTTCCTGGCTCTCTAAAACAGCATTTGTCAACCTTGGCAACTCCAACTGCTGGCTGGGGAGTTCTGGGAGATGAAGTTCCCAATCTTGAAGTTGCCAAGATTGACAAATGCTGCTGAAAGCCTTGATGGTCCCCTCATGGAGAGCGGGAGAGGGAAGCTGGGGTGTGGCACAAAAGTTCTCCCACCAGGCCCCAAGGAAAGGTCCCGTCTTCCGCCCAGGGTCTTCCGGGCGGCCTCCTACTTACGGCCACATCTTTCTGGCTTTGCTCCAGGACAGAGAGGTCTTCTCCCGATGCCCCTGTGGTGGCTGCTTGAGAACCCTGCAGCCGGTCCTCTGCCTGAGCCATCCAGGTGCACATCTCCTGCAGCTTGTGGTCTCGTATAGCTTGTTGTTCTTGCAGCGTCTACATGGCAAGAGGGAGTTTTTAACAATGAAGCAGGAATTTGTTAAGCTTATCAGTTAAACAAGTAGAAAACAAATAAGGCCAGAGAAAATGTAAAACAGAGAAACAGAAGCTGCTGGAGGACAAGATGCACCGCCTGTCCCTTGCTCTCTCTTGCTCACCTGCACCTTTCCTCTTCCATGCCAATGTTACAAGTGCGGCTCAACTCATACTGCAGGAGGGGTGGGGGGGGAGAAATGGATGGAGCCAATCGGGTGTTTGTCACCAGCCTAAGGAAATACCCCAGTCAATTTTTGTTTGCCGTCTTGAAGGGGGGAAAAAAGGGCCATCTACAATGACTTAGCACGACCGCAGTGACCCACAGGAGGTCATTGTATGTGCATGTTTGGGTATGTGAAGGAGAGCAAGAGAGAGAAAGATTCCACACAAACAGACGTCTTTTGGCCAGCCTTCCCCAACTGGTGGTCTCCAGGGGTGTTGGACTTCCATTCAGACCATCCAGGTGGGCCGGAGATGGTGGGAGTGGAGGTCTAGCACCCTTGGAGGGTGCTGGGTTGGGGGAGGCTGCTCTGGGCACAGAGTAACTTTCAGGTGATTGAGCATGATGTGTGTGACCCTGGACCCTCCTTCTGTCAATGCTTGGCCCCTTCTGATCCGTGGGCCAAATGAGTTGTCCTGCTTTCTCTGGCAGTCTTAAGCCAAACAGCAGAAGCAGTTGGAGAAAGGGAGTAAGGGAAGCTCTCCTCAAAAGTGCTCTCCGGCAGTGTACGGAGATCTTCCGCATTAGGCATGGGACACATTCAATCTGAAAAGGCAAAGCACATTGGTTAATACACACAGAGACAAGAGGCAGAACGCACAGTGGGACAGAGACCACTGTTAAACAAAAAAAACAACAAACCCTTCCCTGAACAGGGGAGGTGGGCAGAGGGTGGGTGAGCAGCAGGAACAGGATTGTGCCCAGAAGCGTGGAGGAAGGCAGGCAGCCCAAGGAGGAGGCTGGGGTGAAACCCAGAAGCTCCTTTGGGGGCAAAAGTAGAGCTGAAAAGACGTTTTGATCAGGGCCACTGCGTTTGAGCGGGGAAAGACTCCCTCTTCCCTCTCCAACCACAGCCTTTGCAGACGTTACCTTCTCCCTCGGATGGGAATGAAATTCCCCCCATATTCCATGCATGCACGCGCGCGCACACACACACACACGCACACACACTTAATTTAAAAACCTACCCATCCCTGCCCCGCTTCTCTCTAGCAAGGAGAGGAACCCAGTCAACTGTGCCCCCACCAAAACAGGGATGTTGGCTGAAGATTTTGTGCTGCTATATTTTTTTTATAGAGAATCATGATAAAGTTAGGCAATTTGAGCATTGGAATTAAAATTTTCAGAAAACTTCTGAGGATGCATGCCTCCTTTAAAAGAAAAAAATAGTTATTTCCATATTTTCCTAAAATAGAAGCAGTATTGTGTAAGAATAGGTACACTGCTGAGTTAATTTGAAATATTTACAGATATTTCAATAAAGTATTTTCTAGTTTATTTGGAAGTTTGTATCTAAGCAATAATTGCACTACAATCATTTAGTGAATTTTGGTGCACTAAATTTTAAATTATTTCAGTGTATAAATTTTTCAGTTAGAGAAAACTCAAGATGTGCATTTGGAGCAAAATCCAATACTTTTAACTGGAAGAATAGAATAGAATTTATATAGAAGTCTTCTCCAACGATCTGCTCTCAAAATCCATAAAGAGCCCACCAACCTGAAAGGTTTGGGGACACCTAACGTAGGACGGCTACCTTTAAGGATGGTTTTATATGTAGTTTTTTCATATGTAATAAATTAGAGGAGCTCGTGCTAATGTACATTATGAACGATTTCCAGCGCATCTGTGTGACAGCCCAGAATAATAGAATAATAATGGAATTGGAAGATCTTCTAGTCCAGGGCTGTCAAACTTGATTTCATGGAGGGCCACATCGGGGGTGGTGTTGACTTTGGGGGGGGGGCAAGGACTGGCCTGGCCAATTCGACATCAGGTTCCCCCTATGGTGGCCTCCTGCAACGGCGCTTGGGGGACCGTGTGCACCCCCCACCCCACCCCCGAGTTCCGTTTTCGCCGGCAGAGGCACCGTGGGCTGCTCCTTTGCTGTTTCTGGGGGCCCCCGGGGGCCAGATCTAAGCACCGCACAGGCATCCCTGGGTTTGATACCCCTGTCCAACCCCTGCTCAGGCAGGAGACCCTCTCCCATTTCAGACATTCAGAATGGGTGTCCATCTCAGGCTATTCAGACATTCAGACAAAATGAAATGGGAGACAGGTTTATTGGTGTGTGTTTGAAAGCTAACCAAAATGAAAGCAAGGGGAAGTCACAGCATTCATGTAACTTTGGGGGGGGGGGCTGGGAGAAATTGTGATAGCCCCCAAAGAAGTACAAAACTTAGCAGATTGTCTCCAGAGCTGGTTTTCATCTGTTGATTCCAAACTGTTCAGATTGGCAGCATTACAACAGAGAGAATCGATTTTGGTTCCTTTACATGCTTGAACTGGGGATGGCCCTGTCCATCTGTCCTTGCCACAGGCCATGAGAGGGCTAAAGTTTCAGAAAAGCTCCCATGTCCTTTTTTGACAGGTAAGAAATTCAGGGAGGAAGTGTCCCAAAGAACGGGGCCACCATTGAGCAGGGCCGTCACCTCCTCTGCACCCAAGAACCTGATGATAAAGAGGTGCCCTCAAAGCACTTCCAGGCCAGTCCAGACTAATGGGTTGGTTTTGTTCCTGGATACAGAATAACGGAGTAACTGATTTGGAAGGGACCTCAGGAGGTTTTCCAGTCCAACCCTCTGCTCAAGCAGGAGACCCCACACCATTCTGGGCAAATGACTGTCTAGCCTCTCCTTAAAACCTCCAGTGATGGAGCACCCACAACTTCTGAAGGCAACTTCTGTTCCGCTGGTTTATCCCTCTGACTGTTGGGAAATTTCTCCTAAATTCTAGGTTGCTTCTCTCCCTTCATAAGTTTCCATCTGTTGCCTCTTATCCTGCCTTCTGGTGCTTTGGAGAATCGGTCAGCCCCCTCTTCTTTGTGGCAGCCCCTCAAGTATTGGAACTATCATGTCCTTCTTTTCACTAGGCTAGACATACCCAATTCCTTCTTCACCTCTGTTCTTCGTATGTTTTAATCGCCAGTCTCTTGATCACCTTCGTTGTTCTTCTCTGCATTCTTTCTAGGGTCTCCAGCAGAGCTGTAACCAGTATTCCAAGTGTGGTCTCACCAAGGCACCATAAAGTGGTATTAACACTTCTCGTGATCTGGATGCTCTTGCGCTGTTGATGTTGCCTAGAACTGCATTGGCCTTTTGCAAAGACTCTGGCTAACCTTGGGATCACGCTCCATCTGTTGTGGCCTCTCCTGCCTGCCTGCCTCTCCTCCCAGCCCTCTAGACATTCTGCTCGGTCTTCCTTGCCCAAGACTGTTCTATCCACCAGCACTTCTTGATCAGCCGTGCCAAGGGAAGGAGTCCTTTTTGTGCTGAACTCTGCTCTGCTTTGTCAAGAGTAAAAGCCACACATGCACACACAACCACAACCACACTGCTCCCTATCAAGGACAAGGCAGCCCAGAAGAAGGAAGTCCACCCCGTCATCTCCTCCATCAGCTCTACTGGCTGGAGACAGACCTGCAGGACCTCAGTGTGTGGGGTCACTCTCTCCAACAACTCCCGAAAAGACCTCTGCAGGTCGTTCAGCAGCCTCAGCAACTGCCCGCTTTGCTCAGGGTTCAAGTCTTGCACGTGCTCAGAAATGAAGAACTGGGTATTCGAGGCCGTCTCATCAAGTTGAGTTTTAGTCTCTGTCAGGGGCTTTGTCAGTTCCTGGCCATATCAAGAGAACACAAAGAGAAACTGTTAGCAAGGCAAATTATTCGGGGGCTGGGCAGAAATTACTCAACTGGAAGAAACCACATCACAGCATCATCTTAGGTTTGGTTTATTGGATTTCTTTTTGCTCTGAAAGTCAGCTTCTGTTGCGTTCTTTCTCTGGCCAGAAACAAACCGACATCCCTGGTCTGTTGGACTCTCAAGAGTTTGTTTCCTCTGAAATAATCAAGGCAGTGCATATCACAAGGCGGGGTCTTTCAGTGACCTCATCCAGAGCTCAATTACATCAGTTAGGATACATATATATCATGAATTAGCCATGCCTCTTTCAGAGCACCACCATATTTGCAAGTGCACTGGAGATGTTTCTCCTGCCATATAAGGCTAAACATTTTAACGGCACAGTCCTGTATTCAAACCGTATTTCGGTTGTAGCTAATTAAAAGTAACTTCTTACAACTTTCAATCCTTTCTCTGCCATCAAGAGAAAGAAAAAGGATCAGCAGCCCTTAATAAAATGGGATCCAGTGCTAGTCTCTTTTCTCCAAAGGAAACGAACCCCTAACCTGCTGCATTGCTCTGGAGCTCTTTTCACAGTTCAAGGAAGTAAGCCATGTCTAACAGGATTTGGCTGAAACGGGACTCCCTCTTTTCATGAAATTTGTATCATAAACGTCTCTGTCTCGGGAGGAAGGGAACAAATCCAGCATCTGGGATCAAACTCTAGAAAGGAAACTTTTTCGCAGAACTCGTCATCATAGATCAGTGGTGTCAAACTCGTGATGACGTGACGTATCGCAACTTTTCCCCCCTTTGCTAAAATGGAGGGGGGGGGCAACACATGACGCATCGCCCTGAGTTTCACAGCCTTGCCATAGATGGTTACAACCCCAAAAAATCACTGCAGATTATAATGGGTCCTGGTTCAAAGCAGTATTTATAAAGGTAAACACACGGGTGGTAAGTTGCTAGTCATCATTTGCCCATCCCTCACCTCCTCCCACTGACGGGCCAAAAGCCCCAGTTGCCAGGAGTGGGGAGAGGTTCATCCAAGGGAGTGGACAGAACTGGACGAGTCCAAGTGTTGTGGGGAAGAACAAGGAAACTGGCACAAAAAACCCACCACTTTTTGCCTGGAAAAACAGACAGCAACTTCAAGTATCAGAAAGGCAATTCTGGCCATTGGATGCCAGTTGCCAAAGGCTCCTGGGAAGCATCTTCCACCAGACCCTCCAAGGGCATCTGGGTGATCAATGCCTGTTATGTGCAATGCTGGGAGAGCCATGCGGCTTAGTTCCAAAAGATGCCTTCAGCTAACCGGAGAACGAATGGTGGTGGTGAGGTCTCAAGAGATGAAGGCAGCATGGATAATGAAATGTCACCTCCACCAATTCCCACCCACCCACCCCGTCCCCAAAACTGCCTGGTCCTCTTGCAGACAACCTTAATGTGGCTGTTGCTATGGCTACCTTGCATCGTTGGAGGTAGGGGGTCCAACTGCCGGCCTCGGTCCCAGCACTGGATCCAAGGGCATTGAGTTGCTGGGCGGCGTCTCTCACCCACTTCAGCAGCCCTTGCAGCCTGCCATGCAGTTCACCATGCCGAGTTTGGATTTTAGCCTCAGAATAAAAAGAGCGCAGAGAATTAAAACCGCTATGTAAACACAAAAGCAAAACCAGGTTTAGCGAAAGGCATCAAATCTTCAGCAACAACAGTCACCCTTTCAAGACAGGGGGCAATTCTGAAAGGAAATTCATGCCACAGAGGGAGACTTTCCCTCAGAACTGTTCTGGTCAGCAGGCTCACAAAAGAACGGCCACAAAGCGAGTTACACATTCTAAGAAAGTGCAGAAAAACAACTGAGGAAAACTGCAAGTACCTTTCTCAAAAACCTTTTGCCATATGGGCAGAAAGGTACCAGGAAGTGGGAGACCCTGAGTTCAAATCCTGCCTTAGCCATGAAAGTCAAATGGATGATTTGGGGCCAATACCTCCCTCTCAGCCCAACCTACCTCCAGGGTTGTTACAGTAGGGAAAACCAAAGGAAGAAGACGTGTGGGATACGTTTGGTCCTTGATTAATTTGTAAAAATAATAACACTGGGGTACACATAAATAAATAAGTGAAGTTTGTAGGAGAAAAGAAAGAAGAAAAGAAATCAGGGTTTGGATGGACCCCCACAAATAAAGGCAGCTCCTTAAACTGGTCATAAACTTGGACAAGGACATTCTGTTGGAAGAAGAGGCTCCAACTGCCTCGCGGAATTGGACCTGCCCTCAAGAGAGAGACCTTCCCGCCATTCAGCTGCCATGTCAGCAGAAAACCATCCGGGCAAGCCTTTTGTTGGACCCAATGCTGTTTCCCCCCCCCCACCTCTCTTTGGGGTCTCCTGACTTGTCGTCCCCCCCCACAGGGGGCAGAACGGCTTCTGGATGGCGCCACTTTGACACTGGGCAGCCAAGGGTGATTTGGGATGGGGGGATGCTACGGAGATACAGAGGAAAAGGCTGCTGCCCATGAGAGTGGGGAAAGGCCCAGATGCCTCCCTTCTGGGATGGAGATAAAACATCTGGCAGCAAACAAGAGAACATTTCAACTTAACGCAGCAATAACAAATAGCATAGAAGCCCAGGAGCCATTAATGAATTGGTTCCAGTCAGCCATCTTTTTTTCCATTTCAAAATAAGGCTCCACTCTTCTAATCAAATGAGCTCCTTAGTGGTGCAGTATCTGATTAGTGTGAGAACGCGTGTACATATGTGTGCGTGTGTGAGTAATATTTATTTATAAATTTTCTAGAATATAAAAATATATATCAAATTTAAGTAGTGCCCATCTCACACTCAGTATGCAGGTATGCCATTTCTTTGTACCAACATGCTATGTATGAAAAACAGAAGCAGTATTCTATTGCAGGAAGTTTATTTTAACAGCCATTTCTTTTTTTTAGGAACTAAACTGCAGCAAATTTTATTGCAGCAGGGCCTCCCAAATCCACCTGACCTTATGGAGGTTGAGCTCCACATGCCCACTTTGGGTTTATGGAAAAAGATTTCCCAGATCAACTGCTCTGTGTCACATGTGAAGAAAAAAAAGAAACCACATGGAATAACTATCATCTTTCACTTTCACCCAGCCTTTTTCTAGAGAGTTTGAGTGCCAGAACTGTCCTACGCTTGATAAATTGTTCCCACCAGGAATGTGTTTGGCCCTTAAAGAAGGCAGTACCTTTTCTGCTTCTGCTGCAGTGTGAAGGTTTAGCAGCCAAGAAGTCAGAATGTCACTGACCGAGCCGAAAGACTTCAAAAGATTCTTGGCGTCTTTCTCCAAAGCCCTCAGTAATTGCTCAGGGACCTCCTGAGGAGAGCTGGCCACGAGCCCTTCCACAGCTTCCAGCTCCTCATTCACAGGCGCTGACAGATCCTTCAGTTCCCCATCCAAGACCTAAGACGAAGAGGATGCTGTTAGACTAAGCAAAGCAAAGTGTTTCCCAAGTCTGGAATAAACCTCTGCCTGCCCATTCCAGGTCACCCTAACCCTGCCCAAGCAGAAGAAGACCCGCAGCTATGGCATTGGCTTCGCTGTCTGAGCAGGAAGTTAAATTGGAGCCAAACAGCTGAATTATATAAGCCAACCCCTCGGGCTTTGCTTCCCACAAAGCTCCTCCTTCCATGACAATGTGTAATTAAACGTAATTAGAGGAGACTGGGCTTAAGACTGGGCTTCTTCCCTGAGGTCTGTAAGAACCAGGTGGCACAATGTGACTTTTATGTCTTTTCCTCCACAACTTTTATTTTTGGAGAAGGGAGGAGAAAGACGGTTACAAATACATCACATTATAAATGTGCTCCAAGGGTGTCCAGAGCCCAATCCAAACACACAAACAAGGCAGGAAGCAACTGCAGTCATCAAGAGCAGGACTCGGCTACAAGCAACTCCAAGTCCACCATCTTTGTGGTTAATTACAGAGTCCACCCATTTTCCATTCTTGGCCCAGTGGACATTAGGACTCAAGCACCTGAGGGCAACTTGGGAACCAAGAGAAGGGAAGGAAGACAGGCAGACACGAAGAGCTGTTAATCATTTGGAAACTGAGGCAAGGATACATCCCTAACCTACCCAGTTCGCCTGCTTTTGGCAGAGCCATATTTTTCTAGTCCTGGACATACATCCCAAAGACTGGCAACTCCACCCAACTAGCAGAGGAGAATGGGCTGTGCGGGGAGTTGGGAAGGGCTTGGGGTCCACAGGGGAAATTTCCAGGGCTTGGAAGCTGCTAATTTGAGCCCAAGGGATCCTTCCATCCCTGGAATAACAGAATCTCTTCTCTGGGTTATAAACCCTCAGGTCAAAGCTGTTTTACCCGGAGCAGCACTTGGTTTTCCTTAGCTCCCCTGTTCCCAGCTGCCCAGGAGGTAAAGGAAGAATGAAAACTGAAGCAAGGAATCTTCCTTTAACCAACCCAGCATTGTGCTCACTGGAGCAGCTACAGGCCCAAACCACCATGGCTCCTAGTCCCAGCCTCCGTTGACTGCCTAGCCCTCCTCGGGATGTCCTGCCTGCAGAGAGCCATGATGGTGGCCCTGGGGGCAATGTTCGAGAACCGTTCCAAAACCAGAAAGGGCAAGGCACACCCTAAGCCTTGGGAAAGAAGAAAGCACCAGGAAGAGGTTGGGGCTGGCTCCTCCATGACTCCCTGGGGTGTAAGGGGGGAGGGGAGGGAAAACACAGGCAGAGCTGCGAGATTCTGCTACAAAGGGAGCCTACGGTTCTAGTCCCCCCCTCCCCCTCCCCCGGTGGGATCAGTTTCCTGTTTCCGGTCAACCGGTGTCCTCAAGCCGAGCAAGAGACGCGCTTTTCTGAGGTCAGGGCCTGCTTCTCTTACCTCAGCCTGGAGAAGCAGCTCCTGCAGCGCTTGGAGGTTCAGCTCCGCCAGCTGAACCCTCTGCATGCGCATCTCAATGCTCCGCACTCTGGAGAGCAGCGCAACTAGCCTTTCGTCATAGTTCAGGCAAAGCCATTTGCTGGATGGAGCCTGGAAGAGCAGGAGAGGAAGGGCAGCACTCTTTAGCGCAGGAGGGATATGGACGGAGAAGCATGGACTTCGTTCCATGTATACACTATTACTTCTTTCTAAAAACATCCCAGTTTCTTTTCTTCCAATCACATTTTTTAAGTTAAAAATCATTTCTCAAAACTGTAGCAAATATTTCTCTGGAATGTCCTCACCTTCTTAGATCCTTTCCAAAAAAATGTTTACCAGTCCCCATCAAACTGACAATATTCCAACATTGTATTGAACTAGTTTTTGGATTTGACCATATCAAGTTCTGGCTTTTGGCTGCATTATTGTTCAATTTAAACATTTTAGTGCAGACTTTACCCTTTATGCTAGATAATTTACAACACTGATTGTGCACAACTTTATTAGCTGCCCTCTAGATTTTGATCCAGACAGGAGACAGCAAGTAAGTATAGTTAAATAAGTAATAAAATAAAGCAGCTATAAAGCTGCATAGTTCTCAGCTTTGACAGTTGAAGGAGAAGACGAGGGGATTTGTTTCTGCAGTTTTCTTGGCGAGATTTCAGAAGTGGTTTTTCCATTGTCTACTTCCTAGGGCTGAGAGAGAGGGATTGGCCCAAGACCATCCATTTGTGCCTAAGGCAGGTCTAGAACTCAGTGTTCCCCCAGCTGGGTCCCTTCACCACTATACTAAAGTGGCTTTCAGACAACTTTCACTAGGTATCTATTTTGTCTTCATAAATTCTCTAGTTGTCTAGTTAACTCACAAGATATGCATGAGCAACCATAAGATTGAAATTACCTACCTTGGTAGATGTGGAAGCATCTTGACATTTCTCTTCTGTATTTTCAACCATGCAGGAAGAATAATCAACATTCCCAACTTCTCTGATTTCTGCCGATTCCTGCTGCATGCACAGCTTTTCAGAAGAATCCCTTTTGCTTTCTGGAAACTCCCTGTCTGGTAGCATTTGTCCCTCTGGTCCAATAATGTCACTTTCTTGCCCCGACTCTTCTGCTTCTGAAGACATGGACGGCTCTTTATGATTAATGTTTTCATCTTTTCCAGATACTTCTTTGACCCCAGTTTCTTCTTGTATGAATGATGTCACAGAGAAATAAGAACTTAACTTGTCCTCTAATTTTTTTCTGTTCTGAAGATCTTCTGGTTGTGACTCAGAAGACCCAAAGGATTCTGTATGCTTGGGTACCTGCTCTTCTGACCTAAAATATTTTTGCTTTTTTTTAAGCAATATTTGTTTTTCTATAGTCTCTATTGAAGAATCTCTGTAAAGTCTTGCCTTTTGTGCAGAAACCTCTTCTGTTGCATCTCTCTTTGGGGCAATATTTATCTTTTTGTCACCTATAATGCTCTCTTCGGTTCCAACATACTGCTTCTCTTTCCTGCCTACCTGATGGTCCTGACTTTTAACTTCACCTCGTTTAAGTGGGCTTGTTACCCCACCAGATGGATTTTCCTGCAAGGATTCTACACTGCTAGGGATTAACTCCCCCTTGATTTTTCTTGTCATGGTGGTGTCCCTGGAATTTGATGAGGGAGCGCTCTGTTTCTTAATCTTTTTTGCTTTCTTCTTCTTAATGGTTTTTGAGTCAACACTTTCCGAAATGCTGAGTTCATGAGCTTTTAGTTCTGAACCTTGACTTGGTAGCTCCATTTTGGCATCCCTAAGGAATGTGTTATCAGCCTGCTTCTTGGACACAATCTTGGTAGATCCTTGTAAATGTCTACCATCGTCTTCTTTCTCTTGTTGAATTATAGAACTGAGTTCTTTGGATGCTACAGATTCTATGCAGAGGGTTCTATTCGCTATTTCAGGGCCAAAGGCTACACAAGCACTTTCTTCTGGCTGAACCACGTTTTCTTTTTGCTCCTGGTCTCTGTTAATCGTGCTACTGTCCACAGGGGAAGTTCCTTCTAGTATCTTTTCAGCCTCTGGATTACTTCTTGTTTGCCTTTCTGGCTCTCCTTTAAAAGGTTCTTTCTTCCTCAACTTATTTTTCTTTTTACTATTTTTTTTCTGGGTCTTTATTCTCAGGCCTTCAGCTGGGTCCAACATGAAGGCAAGCTCAGATGCCAGTTTGTTCTCCTCTAAAAATTGACTGACCGAACTGTCCACAGTTGGGACAGTAGAAGGGGGTGGGGGACTCGATTCGTCTCTCTCCGTCTTCCCACCTGCTTCCAAGGAAGCAATGCCAGCATTGGCAGAAGCACTGGAATCTGTTGCTTCAGGTGGCATCACCAGTTCTTTGCTACTAGGATATTTATGAATGGCATCATTTTGCAGCAACCTCTGGGGCTCAGGGCCTTTACGCTCTTCTAAATCAGGTTCTTGAATTGCCCTGGCTAATTTGGGGGTGATTAAGCCTTTTTCAGTGGCCTCTTTCAAGGTTACCCTCTTTCCACTCTCAGCAGTAACAATCCCTCCAGCCAAAATCTGATTAATAGCAATGGTCTTAGCTGTATCTTCATCTAGAACTTCTTTTTCCAGAGCAGATGCCAATGACAGTCTTTGGCCAGTAGAAGTTTCCAGGATGCCACTTGTGTCTGCCTGAGCCTGCAGCAACCTCAAAGCAAGTGTGGGGTCTACTTTTCCAAGCTTAACTGCCTGAGAACACAACAGTCCATCCCCAGTCACCTCATCTCTTATGTCTTGAAAGGGAATAACTTCTAAGTATCTATGCCCTGACTCAACGTCAATTTTGCTTCTTCTGACCAATTCTGAATATGGGACCAATCTACAGTTTCCTGGATAAAGAATAGCTTCCTTCATTTCAGAGGCGACCACTGCTTGTCCCATAACTAGTTTAGATATTAATCCTTTCTTAACAGCTTCCATCAATGTAATTTTCTGGCCAAGACCAGGGTCAAATATGCTTCCAGTTGAGGCTTGTATTTCTTGAACTTTTCTTTGAAAATCTGAGCTGATTAATCCAAGGGATATGGCTTGAGGTAAGGACACAATTTTGTTCCTTTCAGGATAAATGGAATGGTGTAGGCATATGTCTTCTGCCTTTTTGAGATCTTGGTAGAGGTTTTCATCAATCAATCCATGTTCCATAGCATCCTCAATGCAAAGCCTCATGCCAGTCTTGTGGTGAAGGATGCCTCCGTTGGCTATCTGCTTAGTTAGGAGTCTAAAGGCCTTTTCCTCACTCAGATGTCCCTTTTTTACAGCCTGAATAATAGTCAGTGGTTCTTTAGTGTGAGGATCCAAGATACCTCCTATTTCAGCCTGCAGAGCAATGAGTTTTTCTTTAGTTGTGTCATCAGCATATTTGCCTTTAGATGCTTTCTCCAGCTTCTTAAGATTTTCTTGAGTGGATTTGTGTATTAGGCCAAGGTTGGAAGCCAAAGTGACTGACATTTTTTTGCCACGCTTGAAATCAACAATTCCTCCAGTAACTATTTGTGCCTCCAGAATTCTGGTAGCAGTTTCTTTATCCAATAGCCCAAACTCAGATGCCTCCTTGATGGAGTAAATGCTTTTGTTCCATGGGTCAATAATACCACTTATGGTTTGGTCTGAAGCTAATACCTTCTGGACAAGGTTCTCATCCATCAACCCTGCACTGATGACTTCTTCAGTGGTTAATGACTCAGAGGTCTCTGCATCAAAGAAGCCGCTAAACATTTTCATCTCACCCATCACTTTAATGGCCGTATGGCTGGGCACAGCTCCGCAGGCAATGGCCTCATCCAGGAGCATCTTCTTCCCTGTCTGTTCATGAATTATGCCACCTTCTTGCAGCTGCATTAACAACCCATTCAGAGTGCTGTCTTCCGTAGACAGTTTTGGCAATACAGAAGTAGCACTTTGGTAGGCAGGAACTACTCTTTCGTCTGTGGCCATCTGCTCCCTTTTAATATGTCCATCTACAGGTTTCCCTTCGGCTGGAATAAAAAGGCAATCTGTTGATCCATTTTGCACTTTTCCCATGCTTGGCCAGTTGGTAGCCTCTGGCCTCCTATCTACTCCTGCAAGAGTCACATCTTCTAAAATGTGAGATTTTTCCATCTTTTCCAAACTGTCAGCACTCAAATCTATTTGTCTGACATCACTTTTTCCCATTTTGCTCTCTTGCTCTTCCAATGTCATCTTTTCCTCTTCTGACAGTTGCTTTTCATGCTTGGCATCTTCCCACTTGACTTCTTTATTCCTAGTTTCCATTTCAAAATTGGACTTGCATTCTTGCAACTCCATTTGACTCTTGTTCTGCATCATCATCAAACCTTGCTCTCTTCTGGGGTCATCTATCCCACTTTTGAAGTCTCCTGAAAGATCAGCTTCCGTTTCTTGTTCCTTCACATTCACAAATTCATTTATATCTCCAATTTCCAATTCAATTCTTTTGCTAGGTAGAGAAATGTGGGGTTGCAGATTTTGTTCCCGTTTGTTTTCTGATGCAGATGAATCAAGTTTCTTCAAAATTATTTTATTGGGGGATCCAATTTCTACAATTGTGGCATTCTTGCCAACATCCTCACACCATTCTTGGGGTTGCATTTTGCCAGCTTCTAAGAGGTCAATGCTAGAGCCATTTCCTTTTGCTGGCACCAGGATTTCGGACAGGCTATTTAACTCTTCATCTACCAGAAGCAATTTTTCACCATTGTGGATGTTTACATAGCTGTGAGTCATCAAATAGAGCAACGTCCTTTCTTCACAGCTTCTTAAGGGATCCTTGTTTTCTTCTCCATGACCTGCTGGTTGAGCAGAGGAAGAGCTTCTCCTTTGGAAGCTGCTTGAGGGGCCAGAAAGGGGCATCCCTGGAATGAAGTCAGGGAGGCAAGTTGATTTTAATGTTTTGGCAACGTCTTTATTCAGGATTCCACAATCAACAGCCTTCTTCCATGGAAGGATTTCATTAGTCTCTGCTTCAAAAAGTGCTTTGATATTTTGCCTGCCTCTTAAAATTTTATCAGCCAACTCAGAAGTTAGGGTACCTTGCTCCAGAGAATCCATAACAGGCACAACCTCTCCTGACTCGGGCCTCACAAGTCCTACAAACGAACGAAGGGATTCCAGGATCATCACGGCAAGCCTTGATGTCACCAGGCCTCCCTCTATTGCTTTCTGAAGTGAAAGTCTCTCTCCGGTAAGTGGATCTACGATGCCACCAGTCTGCAATTGTCTGACCAGATCACAAACCAGTTTTTGTTTAAGTAAATGATCTCTTCCAGCTTCCTCCACAGTTAGCTGGCAATCCCTTTTGGGGTCCTCAAGGCCACCAGCAAAGAGATGGGCCCCTAGTAATGCCATTGTCACTTCCTTTTCCACTAGTCCTTCATGAACTGCAGAGAGGGCAGCAGCTTCTGGGCCTGACTGCAAGCTTAGCGTCCCACCTGACGCCTCCTGTTTTATTGGGAACAATTTCAGTCCAGTCTCCTGGTGTGGGACGCACTGCTGCAACAGATCATGGAAGCTAATTTTCTCAGCTGAGTTTGGGTCAGTCAAAGCCTCCTCACAAGATTTTAAGCAATTTACCAATTTCTCATGAAAATGGTTGGTAATGATGCCTTTTTGAAGAGCATCTTCTAAACCAATTTGCTCATGGCTGGAAGGATCTATAAAGTTTCCAGTGAGAAGCTGTACTTGTGCTATTTTTAGCCCAGTATTTTCACTGATGATTCCATTTTTGATAGCAGCAACAACAGGATGAAAGGGGCTGTCTTTGAGTTGCATGTTCTGGATCAGCTGGACAGCATCCTGCATTTCCTCTAAATGTTGGTAGATCTTGCCATTTATTACGTCTGTGGTTAGGCATTCTGCTAGGGAGAGCTTTTCACTGACACTGGGAACCACCAGACCAGCTGTGACCACCTGGACTTCCAAGAGGAGAAGGCCTGTTTCTTGGTTTAGGAGACCTTTTTGCATGGCGTCAAAAATAGAGAAGACTTCCATTGTGCCAAGATCTAGCACTCCAGCGATAGCCTCGTTTCCCTGGGACAGAGGAGCAGGGAGAGGAAAGAGAAAAAAAAATCAGAATCACAGGAATAGTGGGCCTATAAATGCATCCCAGTCCAAGATGTCTCAGTCATCTAAAGCATGGTGAGTACTGAACTAGAGAGCAGATCTTAATTAGGATGGTAATTTATATGTTGTATGACCTAACATGGGAACCATTTTGCAATTTATTTTTCAGTTTGGTGCTCAATCTAGCCAGGCAGGCGAGGCACTACTGAGACATTTTGGGCACCCAGCAAGAGCAGCAAAGCAGCAGGAGCACCCTTGCAGCCATTTTCCCCCGTGGAAAAAGACAGAGAAAAGGAGAGAGAAGCATACTAAGAACCACAGCCATGCACTCCTCGTAGTCCCCTTTATTCCAAGGAGGAGACAGGAAGCACGGAAGGACCACAACATAGCTCACCCATATGGACCCAAGAAAAGGGAGCAGGAGACAGCATGCAGGAGACCCCAAAGAGTCAACACGTCCCCTTTTTGCTTTGCAGTTTCACAATATCCCTTTGACTGGTTTGGGAGTGGCAGCCTAGAGGAAGGGGTGCAACCAAGAGTTTTCTACTATCCAAACACGGCTTTCTTAATTACAAAACACTGCCGTTCTTCTAAAGCAGGGGTGGGCAAACTTTTTGGCTCGGGGGCCGCATTGACTTTTAAAATTTGACAGACGGGCCGGGTCAGCACAAGATTTTTTGGGAATCGCCCCCCCCTTTCCCCCCCTTTTCTCCTCCTTCCCCTCCCCTC